ACACCAACGTTTTTTCTTAGGCACTAGAAATCTTGACAGATGCGGGCAAGGAGGAAATTTGGGTAAGGACGAATTTCTCTTTTTCAGGGCCAGATCAGAATATGTAAGTGTAAAAGTAGAAGCGTATCATTAAAATGTCTTTTAATAAATCCACTACCGTTCAAAAGTTTAAAGTCAGTAGGATTTTAAAAAGAAGTCTCTAAGGCCTTGTGTCCACCAAAGCGTTTTTAGCCACTGCGATTGGACGGCAGGGTAAAAAGTGACAGTGATGAGCGCTGTGATTTACACAAAGTTGAACATCTTTCAACTCTTGGCATCTGAGAAAAAAAGAAAGAAAAAAAAAGGCAGCTCATCACCATGTGTATATCAGTCAGGACACCCACATCAACACACACACACACACACACACTCACAGATGAGAGAGATTGGAGGCCCTAAATACCTAGGTGTCTTCCGGCGGCACAGGTGTGCTGTGGACAGATCAGACTGATGGTTGCAGGGAAGAAACAAAGGGAAGAAGGATCGTACACCATCACACAAGACGATCACATTCAGAGATGAAAATGTAAATCACCTATGTCTCTCTCTTTCCTACAGTCTGAGAAGTGTACACTACAGTTGGGCTGCTCTCTGTCGTTTGAATGCCTGTCCGGAGGTCAGAACGGGGTCATCTGAAGTGCTCTGACCTTAAAAACACTCAAACATGTGGCAGAGAAGCACAGCTGTGTTATTCCCAGGGCCTCGTTCATGTTATCTCTCTCCCTTTTATCTACACTCCTGCCAGAAGAAGTGTTATTTAAAACAGGAGACGCCAGGGACTTGAAATGTTTTCCCCTCATTAGTAAACCACATTATATGAGCTTTAAATAATATAATCTCATTGTGAGGAGAATCATGTGGTGTGAGTGTCTCCTCCAAGAATACAACAAACAAGAGAGAAATGACTTGTTTGATTGACTAATAGCAATATTTATTATTTCCATATAGGGCCATACTGTATATTGGAAAAGGGGATTTTTACAGGGGTACCCATGTATTCTTTACATACTATTAAAGGGATAGTTCACTTTGAAATACATTTTTGGTATGTTTTAGCTTACCTCAAGGTGTGGGTGTCTTTGTTTCCGCAGTATTTTCAATTTTGATATTTTTAGGTCAAACCGTTCTTGTCTGTCAGTCATATAATGGAGGTCTATGGTCACCACCTCACAGAGAAGTTCAAATTAAACATGATTTAATGACTCGTAAATGTAAGCACACATTGATGGCCTAAGACACGAAACGAGCAGTTTGTGTGAGAAAACGAACAGTATTTATATCGTTTTTACCTCTTGTAACCACAGCCACGTCCAAATACTCTGAGGATGAGGGCGTTTCTGTCTGTGCAAACGCTGGAAAGCCCCGGAAGTGATCTCTCACGTGTGTACGTCACTCATTGGTTACACAAAGATTTCAAAAGTGTTACCTTTCACTGTGAAGATCTAAACATATTTAGAAATTGCAATGGAAGACGATTTTGATATATCAACAGACAACGACGTTGATTTTTTTTTTTTTCCGCAACTGCGCAAGAGATCACTTCCAGCACTTTTCAGCGCTTGTGCAAACCAAAGCGCCCGTCCGTTTTCTTGTTTCGTGTCTTGGGCCATCAATGTGTGCTTACATTCACGAGTCATTAAATCCTGTTTAATTTGGACTTCTCTGTGCATGCTCTTTGAGGTGGTGACCATAGACCTCCATTATATGACTGACAGACAAGAACGGTTTGACCTAAAAATATCAAAATTGAAAATACCGTGGAAACAAAGACACCTACATCTTGGATGCCCTTGAGGTAAGCTAAAACATACCAAAAATTAATTTTAAAGTGAACGATCCCTTTAAAGCATTTATTAATTCTTCAAATTAGCTTTTGATAGTTTCACATGGCTGAAAAATGATCAAGAAAAACTAAATTACAATGTCTAGATCAACAAGTGACTAAAAACAAACAATAAAATGCTACAAAAGTGTAATACTGAATACTCTGAATACTACTTCCCTATATCATTTAAAGCAATCATAGAGAAGCTCCCATGATCTAATCTGCACCGAGGGAAGAGACTAAACGCACTAATGTGGTGTGTGGTAAAAGGGTGGTGGAAATAAGGAAGGATGATTGGGACAAAAAGAAGAAGATAACAAATCTGGCTGAAAGAGAGAAACAAAGAGAGAGAGGGAGAAATGGATGAGTTTCAGGGCAGCAGAGACAGTGGTAGACGTTTAGAGCCTGGAGGTTAACCACAACATCCTCAGCGCAGTGGAGGGGACTTGTTCTCAGAAAAGAGGGAGGGGAAGCGTCCAAAATAGAGGGAGACTATTTATGGTGCAAGAAACACCCATATTATATCATTTCATCATCGTGCTGTACATTTTCTCTTATGTGTGGGGTCTGAGGGGATCGGAGAGTAAATGAGAGGACGGGACTATAAAGAGACGGGAACGATAGTGAGGAATTCCCCCATGTGCTCGTCCTGTGGTCAAGTCCTAACAAGACATACTGTAGAGTGGGTGAAGGGTGCATATATTTATATGCATATGGGGTAACCCTAAAGGAAAATGCTGAAAATACTGAATAATAAATGCAATAATTTCATTCAATTAAAAGAGAATGAGTATAATGCGTATCTGGGTAATGTAAGGTGATTTAGGATTAGAAAGGGAGGGAAGGGGTGGTGGAGGGGCGCTGCTAAACTGTCAGAGAAATGAGGTGAGACTGCTGAGTCTATTTATACACATTTTAATCATGATTGCTGAGTGCTCTCCACCCGTGTTAATTATATGAACGTGCTTCACCTGAACTTTGTCATTTAATCATGATTGCTGAGTGCTCTCCACCTGTGTTAATTATCTGAACGGGCTTCTCCCGAACTTTGTTAATAAAACATCATTTAGTGTGAAATGGTCAAATGCAATTATATGTAAACCAAAAATAGGTTGATGTCTCTGAACAGTTTTGATCGTATTCAAAAGCAGCATGAGTATTTATCAAATGGTCCAATACAGAAACGAGATCTTCTGTTCCAGTTCATATTTGTGTTTCGTCAATAGGACTGAGACAAGACGTCATACATGCAAATAAGGATTACTAAATTATGCCATGATGTATACTGTATATATATTAAAACAAGTACTACAAAAAAGTATTGCAAACAACAAAAAACATCAGAAAAAAAAAACTGCCAGAAAAGTAAATAAATAAATTATAGGAGCATTATTTTAATAGGATGTATTTTTTCTTAATTTTGTTATTTTTCAGGCAGTTAAAAAGGGTATGTAGTTAAGGTATTTTGAAAAACTCAACTTAATTATTATTTTTTATTTACTCATTGCAGTAATGATTTTGATTTGCTAATGTGCGTTCAACAAAATTCTGTACATGCCATAACAGTTGTCATTGAGCATGTCATTTGGGCAGCAGCTAAATGCTGGTGACCACAAACTGAATTCACCTTTGGCTAAGCCACACCCTAGAATGTAGATTGACCAATCACAGCGCAGCCCAGAACGACACTTTTTCACAGCGCTCCACTGACTTTCAACACAGGCGTCTCATATTTTTGGTCTCGGCAGGCAATTACTGTCGTAGTTTTATTCAAAATATGGTTAAACGCTGTGCCTCGGGCATTTTCAACACAGATACGCGTTTCCCAGAGAGGTTGGAGGGGGGTGTCCGTTTTTTCCCTTCCCAAAACCGAAGTAAAATCCTGACAAGTGTCGTCTTTGGAAACTGTATGGACGTCCTCAGTCAGCTAAACCCCGCAAAGATCAACAAGCACATTTTTTTTTTACTTCTAACCTTACTGTGAGTGTGAAATTATACTAGTTAGACTGTTTTATAATGTTTTAAGTTATGATTTCGGTTCTCATACCGGTTGTTGACACGCTAGCACACGCTGCTAATAAATACAACGTTATACTCGTGTAGTCCGTTTGCTTTGTAATAAGGATTATAGAAGTGAATAGAGACCTACCCAGCTTTGCATGAACAGTGTTGCTCCCTGATATTGTCAGTCCCAGCCTCTGTGTCGATTAGTAGGATATGCAGTGGTTCATTTTTTGACTGTGACCGGTAATGTTATGCTTTTGCCTCTATTTTGGATGCAAACCAATAGCAAACCACAACCATCCAATAAATTCCCCATAGACAAAATCAAGACCCAGCTTACAGTCTCTCTTATTCGAGAAGCCGTTTCACTCAGATATATGTCACAACTTAACTTCCATTTCATGCAGACTTTAAAGGTACTCTATGCAACATTTGGTCCTCTGGCGGTAAAAAAAAGTGTGACTATGTGGATTTAATATGTTTATCCACTGCTCATAAAACATTCACCACTAGGCTTAAGAGATATAACCAGTTTTGCTGGAAAGGATCTCAAACTGACAAGCTTTACTTATTAATAGACACGGTACTTCCTTGAAAGTCAATTCCAGCACAGCGCTACAACAACCAAAATGACCCTTCACAATAGACAACGTTTTGAGAGCAACATATGGGAATTTATCAGTTCAATAAGATACCTTAACTGCTGAGTAATAAAAACCAATAGTAAAAGTCCCTCAGTTTCTTTACATCTCCGAAAAGCCAGGCTAATGTTGATTCTTGTTTTATTACAAACTCTATCTTGCTCTTTTTGCCATGAGACTCTGTGATCTGATTTAGCAGCTCCATTTCACACTTTCTCACTCGTGACAACTAACCTCTGCCACTCCTACACCAGACACGCACGGGCGAGTGACATATGTACACAGGTTCTTCTGGAAACCATCCCGCTAGATCGAAAATATACTTAAAAAGTAACACTACGGGCAATCATAGTGAATCAATCAGTGTAAGACAAAAGGAATTGGAAGAAGGATTGATGATGTATTGACAAAGTTACATAGTGTACCTATGAAGTGAAGTGAATCCACGTTTTAAGTATGTAAAGAATACAAGAGAAAGAAGAATAAGGTACCTGTCGGCGTCTCCCTGGCCGGTGGAGGCATTGCGCTGCAGACTTTCTCGTACCATTGCCATTCCATCCGGCATCCGGTTCAATCGCCGCGTATACAGACTCAATCCCCCATCCGTCATGTACCTGAGAAAACACACAGAGACAGATATTACATGAAGTATTTAAAAGATTGGGAAATAAAGAACATTCAAAAGCAATGAAACTGCTCACCGACACTCACAGGTTTGGAGGGCACACATCTTGAAATAAATTAACCACTCAATATATAATATAAAATAATATATAATATAAAATAATATAATATAATAATATAATATAATAAAATTTAATAGAATAGAATAGAATATAACAATCGACAATGATGATTTAGATAATGCAGAGTTCCACTCTGACATATTAATTGTTTTTTTAATTAGTTCCAGATAATAGAGTTGAGGGGAAAAGTACAAAGAGTTCTTGTAGGCTGCAATGAAGTCATTTTGAAATGCAAATGGTGACAGTATTTTGGGCCACTAAATATTTGCTAATAATGCTGGTCATCAGACTTTACAGATAAATAAACACATCAATGCAGAGAATGATATTAAGTAAAACACATCTTAGTTTTCAGACAGTCTAGCTTTTTATAGTAAATAGGATGTTTGACTAGTTTTGGTAGAACTAATAATGGACTAGAACCTTAATCAACTAAACTAAACAGTGTTTCATCTAATACAGCCCTCATGACTCATGACATACAACCCTCAACTGGTTTAAATCAGGCAACAGGAAGTGTGTGTGTGTGAGAGAGAGAAAGAGAGAGACATGAGGTTATTAGGGCCAATGATTCAAACTCACTCTGAAAAAAGGCAACAACAACAAAAAAAAAATCCTACCTTCATCAACCTTGAACTAACTTTTACCATAGATGTGTGCATGTAAAACTCAACCTTTATCCATTCATTCACATACGTCTATGAGGTTTAGGTGGGAGAAAGGACCACTTGGTGAAAAACAAACCCTCGCGTAACTAAAACACAATCGGATACTCTTCCAAATATTTGCACTGTCAACAGATTGCTGGCTGCTCGCCGTCACTCACTCTCCAATAGTTCCCACTGGACACTGGAATAAAACACCTTCTTCATGCTCAAGCAGACTCACTCAAGGTAAGACAGTTGTGCGTCTGTTAGTGTGTGGTTGTGTCGGTACAGTGGCTCTTTGTGTAAAATACTATCACATCATATTGAGAATATGCTGCTGAAATAAATGTGATGGTGGGTTTATACGGCCAATAGTTCATCGACATCTCGAATCAAATCACCTCCTCATACCTCCGATTCTCAATTTCCCTCTACATTTTTGAGCGCATAGGTGAACTATAGGTTATATTTCACCATCAAATCTTAATTCTCATGAAAACAGTGCTTAATATATATATATATACACTCTCAGAAAAAAAGGTACAAAAGCTGTCACTGGGGCTGTACCTTTTAAAAAAAGGTACACTTTAGTACCCAAAAGCTGCACAGGTACCTTAGTGGTAAATATTAGCACCTAAAATGTACATATTAACACCTAAAATGTACATATTAGTACCTAAAATGTACATATTAACACCTAAAATGGACATATTAGCACCTAAAATTTACATATTAACACCTAAAATTTACATATTAGTACCTAAAATGTACATATTAACACCTAAAATTTACATATTAGTACCTAAAATGTACATATTAACACCTAAAATGTACATATTAGTACCTAAAATTTACATATTAACACCTAAAATGTACATGTTAACACCTAAAATGGACATATTAGCACCTAAAATTTACATATTAACACCTAAAATTTACATATTAGTACCTAAAATGTACATATTAACACCTAAAATGTACATATTAGTACCTAAAATGTACATATTAGTACCTAAAATGTACATATTAACACCTAAAATTTACATATTAGTACCTAAAATGTACATATTAACACCTAAAATTTACATATTAGTACCTAAAATGTACATATTAACACCTAAAATGTACATATTAACACCTAAAATGTACATATTAGTACCTAAATTGTACATATTAACACCTACATATTAGCACCTAAAATGTACATATTAACGCCTAAAATTGACATATTAGTACCTAAAATGTACATATTAACACCTACAATTTACATATTAGCACCTAAAATTGACATATTAGTACCTAAAATGTACATATTAACACCTAAAATGGACATATTAACACTTAAAATGTAATATTAGCACCTAAAATGCACATAATTATTAGCACCTAAAATGGATAAAAGTTTAGGTACAGCCCCAGTGACCGCTTTTGTACCTTTTTTTCTGAGAGTGTGTATATATATATATATATATATATATATATGGGGGAATAAATATACATTATATATATATATATATATATATATATATATATATATATATATATGTTTCTCTTACTTTTTGTAACGTGACTTTTTTTCAGGCAGTTTTCATAACACTTGCTATCATAGGCTTTTACAATCCAACTTCAAGTATCAATAGAGAACAGCATCATGCTTATATTTGTAAGAAAAAATGTATTTTGATGCTATAAGTAAAATCTAGATTACACTAAACAGAAACACTAAACAGTCTAAAAACAATCAATAAATGTTAATAAAACTTCTTTAATTTTGACAGTCTCTAAAAGGCATTAACGATTACATTACGCATACAGATTGACAACAATGACTGACATACCTTTCAGTCTTATACATCCATCAGATGAGATGAGATCTCCAATACACGCTTCCTGGACTCTCTGATGCGTTTGTTTGCAATCGTGTGTGAGGATATGAATAGGTTTTGCATGTGTATTCTCTAGTGTTGGACTATATTCTATGTCTCGACTCTTGTGTGTGTGTGTGTGTGTGTGTGTGTGAATGGCTGAAATTTGCGCCGGTGTGCTGGACTGTTTGGTGTAGAGGGAGGAGGCTAAACCAACCACCCCTTCCCCAAAACACACACACGCCCTCTTATAAACACAACCCCCACCCCATGAGCAGACTGGGCCAAGACAGCCTGAAGGGGTTTTGGGAGAGGGGCAAAGCATGAGGAAAAAGAGAGGGAAGAGGAAAGAGAGTTCAGAGAGGAAAAGTAAGACTAAATTGGTGCCATAGATTAATGTTTGAGTCTGACATTTGAAGAGCAAAATGGATATTTCAAGGAGAAATTGCTGTATACAATATGCATTTATTTCTATTTCAATTTATTTATGAGGAAATAAACGAAAAGACACACACACCAATCCTGGAAAATTGAGATAATTGAGAAAATCACTTTATTTCGATAGTTCACTTTTAGACATTCTACTAACTTTTCAACTACATGTCAACTAACTGTCATTAGAGTATTAGTAGACTGTCAGCTTAATATCTGCTAACACTTTATTTTGTTGGTCCCCCAACAGACATTCAACTGACTATAAGTAACTTGGCGACTACAAGTAAACTTATTCTCCTAACCCAAAGCCTAACACCTAACCATAACCTAACAGTCTACTGACAGTCTACTATAATATACTAATACTAAAATGAGAGTTAGTTGACACATAGTTGAAAAGTTACTTATAAATTAGTAGAACGTCTAAAGTGACTATTGCTCATATAGACCATTTTGCAAGATGTAAACAACACTGGTCCAGAAGCACTTCCTGTTTCAGTTTGTAACTGTTTTCTTTATTTCACATGTAAAGAAAACATCTTAAAGATGTTTGTTTAACTTTTTGATTCAGTTTTATATGTTCTGTTGGTTGTATTTTATCCCAGCTTTTATGTAGAGTTAAAAAACTGAAACAGGAACTGCTTCTGGACCAGTGTTGTTTACATCTTGAAAAATGGTCTATATTAAAAAAAGTTGAAGTAGACCGATTAATCGGACGATTTTTGGCATTTTAGAACATAATCGGCATCGGCCAATATCCAAGTATATCAAGCCGATTATTAGGCAGGCGCATCTGTTGGCAACCTAGTCATTTTCCAGCCGAGTGAGCAGCAGAAATACGTTATTGTTAGAAGTTAAATTAAATAAAATATAATAAATCTTATATATTAAAAAAATTAACCATTTAAAGTTTTTTTTCTCCTTTTTTGTGATAATTAGGTTATGTCCAATTGTCTTTGTCCGTCAACAAACAAAACAAACCAAAAATACATGTTTCAGGAGATTTTTTGAGAGAATAAAATGTTTTTGTTGAGAAAATTTGTCTATGTTAAGTAATTATCATTTCTTTTACATTTTATCTTTCAAATAGAGGGTAAAAACCAAGCAAATATCGGCCAAAATAAATCGGCAGCATTAATCGGCCATCAGCCGACCCAAATTTCAAGAGATCGGTATCGGCGTGAAAAAAATCGGTCGACCTCTAAAAAAAAGAGAGATATATTCAGAAAATACAAATGCAAAAACACCACATACATTAAATATCCTTCAATAATGTACTTTTTCCCTTAAAAAAACTACAGAAACCCCTTACATTAGACAATTAATCTTGTGACAATCTTCAAAATGGTTTCCACGTAATTTGAGTTCATTTACACTTTAAAAACTGATTTATGTGTGAAACAACACAAATGCACAGCCTAAACAAACTAAAGCTCTAAATCCCTGTGCAAGACTGTCCTATACGGTCAAACTTTAACCAGTGTTCACCTCCAGATGACACAATTCCCAGCATTTCCATCTCATTCCACTCGATTATTTTTTTTGTGGAGATGTCAGTAGCCTCAGAGACACCGTAACCACAATGTCAGTAATGGAAGCCTCTTTTAAGTAAAGAACATCTTCATTTCAGCACGATACACATGATGTAATGTGACAAACCTGTCGCTCCATTATCAAAGTGCTGTCATGAATAGAGGAAGGAGATCATATTAGCTCAACCCATATGTGTTCATACATCCAGCAGCCTGGGGTGAATTTCTACAGGAAAGCTTTTAACCCGTCAGTCCAGATTGGACTGTGAAAACAACCACTTTGAGACTTGGGAAATCAGATCCAACAGCAGTATTATAGAGCCTCCTTTCCGTGAGGGGTCTGGTTCAGACATGTAAGTGAACTTTGAGATTATAAAGCCTCCCAATACCAATTTCACTTGCCTCAATGCTCTTGACATCATCCATTGTGCAGGGTATCCTCGAGTTTAAGTCTGTATTGGCCTTTCAGTTAAGTGTCAAACGTGTCAAAATTACAATAGCACCCATATGACATGCAGTAAATGTTGACAGGATTTTGTCGGACGTTTAAATTGTATATTAATTAACATCTTAGAAGTCAGGCTCACGGCCAGGTGTAATTGCAGCCTGTCTCCTTGCCCGTTCTCTATAATCCGGTTATGTTACAGGCACTAGAACGGTTTGTAGTGCTTAAACCACACAGGAAGACTGTGATTGTGAGGAAATTATAACACAAGAGGTTTAAATTGCACATTATCACAGTCAAGGTATGCAGAGAGCTTGTTTCAGCACGAAGGGGGAGTTAAATCCGAGTCTGTACACTCAAGTGCACCAAAGACGCTTTTATTCCAGTGCAAGGCGAGAGGATTTATTGCATTTAATGTGCTCACCTGCGTCATTAGATGTCATAAGTGTTTCTAACAAACACCTGAGAGAATTGAACCAGTGAATCAGGGGAACACTGATTTAAAACGAAAACACACACAATCCCAAACCCTTCACTATAGCGTCTATCCTGAGATCTGATGCAAAGCCAGTAGAGAGGGAAAAATAAATCCATTTCAGCTTTTAAAACCCCAAAAAGTCAAAACAGGTCTACTATTATATAATGGAATATTAGCAAAAAACACTAGTTTGGGGTCTGAAAGTTGTTTTTTATTTAAAGAACTTAGTTTTAATCAGGAAGGATGCATTAAACTGATCATTGGTAAAATGTTACACAAATATTTTTTTGAATCCTGAAAAAAGTGCATCACAATTTCAACCAAAATAAGCTGCATAACTGTTTTGAACAGTGACAGTAATAAGAAATCAAAATATTAGAATGATTACTGAACGATCATATAACAGGAGTAATGATGCTGAAAATTCAACTTTGCCATCACAGCAATAAATTACATTTTAAAGTATATTAAAACAGAAAGCATTTTTTTTGAATTATAATAATATTTCACAATTGTTTACTGTATGTATGATCAAATAAATGTGGCCTTGGTGACCATGAGATTTTCAAAAAAAATGTACAGACCCAAACTTGTGAACGGTAAATCTTTTACTGATTTAGTATATATCCCTAAACCAATGCCCAAATCTATAAATTGGCTCCTAGTTAAAGCTGCAGTCCGGTTTTTCCTCTTTGTCGCCATCTCTGTTTGAAATCTGCAATTGCAGTCATTCGGGGAATTATCAACTTTACGTGACACAGCGCAAGGTGGATGAACACAGTGTTTGAGGAAAGTGTGCAGCTGTCAGTCACCACGTCGGTGTCGATACTGGCATTCAGAATCCCGGATTATTCTTCTGAGAAGTATGACCAACATAAGAATTTTCACCGGAAAATGTCATCTGAACTCTTGTCATCTGAACTCTTGTTCTGGTTCTGACATTGCAGTAAATCGCGCTGATTTAAACTAACAATCGCTTATAAGTTATCATATCACGCAAAACCGTGCAAATTATACTTTGTTCTCAAATTGTTATATTTGTGTGACTACATGTAGGCTAATGTCCTTCTGATATTTGTCATAGTTTTCGTATGGGTTCGGTTGAAGTCTCTTTTTTTCACTCTGAAGTGCAAACGAAGTCTTTTGCATTTTACAGCGGGTGAATCTGTTGTCACTGGTAATTGTCGTTTGAACCTTTCTGGATCCGCCATCAAATTGATAAGGTTAATTATATCAAGTGCTGTAAATATTCACATCTAACATCCTCACACACAATATAGCTTATACTAGCCGAGACTCTTCTTTAGGTGTACAGATGTGACGTAATGACGCCACTGGAATTAAAAACATTATTACAAGCTTTGAATCGAGCTACAGCAAGCAGAGAGTTTTGAACACTGGCTGGTTATGTATTTTCTCAAATATGTATTTTGGATCATTTTTAACCCCAAAAAAGCAACGGACTGCAGCTTTAACACTATCCATTAGATTTAATAAGGTAATCATAAATGCCCCTGGAAATGAATTCCAGGAGGCGAATATTGCCCCTTAATGGCAAAGATCATTTCTGACTGTGATAGTCACACATTCATAGATATCTATATAAAGGCATCTATGCACACATTGACTTATGATCTCAATAAGAAAATCCAGTAGTCCTGAGAAAAAAACTCATAAATTCATATTTAGAGACCTCTCACACCCTCTAGTGGCTGCACTGCAATAAAACAACACTAAAATGCCCACATGGATAAGTTCACAAGTCTTCACAGAAAGCATGATTCATTTGATTATATTTATGCCACATGGTAATGAGCAAATGTATGAACTGTAATGACAATCTCATAACAGTAAACAGAAAAGAGATACATTTACGTCAACCCACTCCTGCAAAGGCACTTAAAGGGATACTCCACTTTATTTGGAAATAGGCTCATTTTTACCACTCCCACAGAGTTAAACAGTTGAGTTTTACGTTTTCAAATCCATTCAGCTGATTTTCTGATATTTATAAGAATATCAGTAACCAGACAGTTTCTGGTCTCATTGACTTCCATAGTAGGAAAAAAAATACTATGGAAGTCAATGAGACCAGAAACTGTCTGGTAACTGATATTCTTCTAAATATATAAAAAAAAAATCGTCTGAATACAATCGAAAACGGTAAAACCCAACTGTTTAACTCTGGGGGAGTGGTAAAATGAGCATATTTCCAAAAAGAGTGGAGTATCCCTTTAACATTATTTCTCAGCAAGGGTTAGCAATACAAATGGCTGGATATCTCCTAGGACCAACAATGAATTACCACTTGTGTAAATGTTATCATGCAACTGCCTTTTAATTTTCATTTTATCTTCACTAAACTACATGAAGACAACACCTTTACTTATCAGCCATTGAAAAACCACTCATGTTTCACACTCACCCGCTGGTCAGCTCATCAGTGCGGGCGTTCTTCGCCAGCACGTCTCCATCACTCATATATCCACTCATCTCCAGCCCCACTCCTGCCAGCTCCAGATCCTCCACCCTGTCCCCCAGCTCCAGACCACAGAGGGCGCTGCCACGCGCCGCCAGCTGCTTTCGGAGAGGACCCGGGTACAGATACCGGCCTTGACCAGGCACCACCCCTCCGCTCCGGGACTGATACCCGTTACCAACCGAGGGAGCATCTCCTGCTTGTAGACGGGGACTGGACTGGCCCATGCGACTGGCCCAGGACAGCGGCGCAGGTCGCGATGCCATGCTGAGGATGCCGCGACCGCTCATTTCAGTGGTCACGCTACCATCAAAAGTGGTCTCCAGTGTACTGAGAGAGAAAAACATTTCAGATTTACTTTCAGTCTATATGAAATCAAAATCTTGCTACTTGTTTTAACAACTTCCCTTTTCCTTTGCGTCTCTGTGTCCTCATGGGAACACTTTAGTTTAGGGTCCAGTACTCACAACTAACTAGTTGCTTATTAGCATGCATATTACTAGGAGTATTACTGTATTACTGGACTACCAGTTAATTAGTTCTTATAAAACACATATTAATGCCTTATTCTGCATGACCATTTTCTACATCCCTTATACAACTCAATACTTAAACTTAACAACTATCTAACAAACTCGCAATAAGCAGTAATTAGAAGTTTATTAAGGCAAAAGTCAAAGTTAATAATTATATATATATATATATATATATATATACACAGGATATATATATATATATATTTATATATATGAAGAGTTCAGATGCAAAAGCCTCTAAGTGCCATTTGAAATTTTTATCATTTATCATTTTTTTTAATCATTTTTATCAAGCTTGCATATTTAAGTTCAGTGATTTCACTTAAATGGCAATAATAATTACCTATTAACTGTTATTTAAGTGAAATTACTGAACTTAAATATACAAGTTTGATAAAAATCATCATTAAAGAAGAAAATTTCAAATGGCATTTAGAGGCTTTTGCATCTGAACTCTTCATATATACATACAGTATATATATGTATATATATATATATATATATATGTACACTCACACACATATCATATTTATATGTAAATGGAAAAACATGATTTATATAAACTTCTAAAATAAAATGTAACATGGTATGTAAGTGTCTGCAAAAATACCATGGTTATTATTATTATTATTATTATTATTTTATATTGGTAACTCATACCAAGTTTTACCAACCGCTGTTGTACTATAGTTTACTACAGTTACTATGGTATTTTTCACCAAACAGCATTCAATTACAACATTTACTTTTAATATGAAAAAGCTTTTATAAATGGTACTGAGGAATTGTAACAAATATTCTGACAACTAAGGAAACTAGAATGCCCTGCTGTTCTCATTTTGCCCTAAAATAGACTTTTTAAGCAGTTCACAATTACTGCATTATGCCACTGTAGCAATGCAGTCTGGGTCAAGTAGATGAATAATCAAAAAGAGGAACAAAAAAGGTTTTAAGAATAGATCGAGATGGAAAAAAACCCATAAAGGAGTCAGTGGACACCCTTTACTGATTTAGAAAAAAAGTCATTAAGAGTAAAAAGAGTCAGGCTGAGGAAGGAATAGGTACATGCTAATGTTTTTTTTTTAAAAAGTGTCCTTTTATGACAGCCTGTGTTTTTGCAGTTTGATCGGGATGGAGGATAACCATGGTTCACCCAATAACCCTCTTCTTCTCCATCTTAATGTGCTTCTTGGGATGGATATATGGTTATTTGGAGATTAAAAAGATTCTGGATGCTTCATTGCAGGTTCTTCATATAGGAAGGATTCTGGGTTTGTTTAACATCAGATTACAAGTACATTCATGAAAGTGCATCAGGCTGTGATAAGAAATAAAAACTGTAGATGCGTCTACCTGTGTGTGATTTGTGTCCCCCGCAAACTTGACATGGTCTCTTCTAAATTTTGTCTCAGGTCAGCAATGTTTTTGACTGTCCTCAGGCGTCTGGACTCTGGATCTTCACCTGAAAACAGGACATTCATTTTCAGACTTTATAACATATATCAATATTTTAAAAACTACTGTTTAAAATGTTGGGGTTTTTAGAGAAATGTTTACTTTTATTCTGGACATTAATAAAATATGTAGATTTACATTATTACCAACAACTTCTGATAACCTCTCTGAAATAAATTGAACAGGTTACCTGACAGGTCCTCAGTTGAAGACTGGCTGATCTTACTGAAGCTACAGGAGTCACTAGTGAGGCATCCAGAGCTTGGGTTTGAGCCGATGTTTCCATCTATCTCATTCTGAGACCTTAAAACACAGGGGTTAAAAATAAAAAAAGATATAATTCGTGTTGATAAGCATGCACACATTTTCTGTGACATCGTTGTCAGCAGAAGTCATGCCCTGACTAAAGGAATCCTTAATGGAAAACAAACACAGGGCATAGAGTTTATTTCAGAGGAAATACCAGTCAAACACGTCTCAGCTGAGCCTGACGGGGAGTCACATGCAAGCCCACATGCACACTAGAGCCATATGCAATGAGGTCTCATAAACTATATACTGTACAAATCAGCAATATTGTGCTCCTGTTTTGGAATGAATCCATTTTATGTATCTATCCATCTAATGTGTATTACATGCATAACAATAGGATTCTGAACTAGATCAAAAAAAAACTTTCTAAGGTAACACATTTCAAATTTTATTTCTGTCCTTCTTTCTTTCTTTTTTTAATAAGTTGGACTGCATGTGTAGGAAATGGAAAATATGCCTTTTTGTGGAGTTTACATTTTAGTTGACAGCAAAATACAAATCAAATCTGATTTTTACAAACAAAATTCAAAGCACATTCATATTTGTTCCACATTTCTACATGGTCTGAAATACGAATTTGAACTAAAACCAAAGTTTTATTTCCGATTAATATCATAAATGTGATTCATTGTTATTTTAGTATAATTAATGTACAAGTACTGTTTAGATTTAATCTATTTATATTACAGTTTTAGTCATTTAAGTACTTTAATATTAAAATTTATTTTATTTGAGTTAGTTACCAAGGCATCCTATTTTTTTTTGTTTATCAGTATTTATATTTTATTTAATTTCAGCTATATTTTAATTAACGAAAATTATTTTATTAGCTTAAGGGTTTACATGACATGCATGTACTAAAAACGTAAAAAAAAATTCCTTTGCGGTTTTCGAGTACAGACAACAACGTTTTCAAAATGATTCCCTTTCACATGTATCCTTGAAAACAACTATATTAAAAACGCCAGGCCAGTAGTTTGTGATGTAAAGAAACACTACGCGTCTATAAACCAGACACGTAATACGCATACGCATGACATCACTGTTTTCACAAATTTCCGTTTTTGTAGTTTACGTGGAGATGATAACAGTATCGTTTCCAAAAGTTTGCGTTTTCAGACCCCCCAAACGGCCAAAATGCATAAAAAGTTTTCCATTTTTAGTTGATTTCATTTGATTGGCCCCTTAGTTTCATTTAACAATAACAACACTATTTGGAAACTTGCCCAAGTTAAAGGGATACTCCACTTTTTTGGGAAATAGGCTCATTTTACCACTCCCCCAGAGTTAAACAGTTGAGTTTTACCGTTTTCGAATGTATTCAGCCAATTTTATGATATTTAGAAGAATATCAGTAACCAGACAGTTTCTGGTCTCATTGACTTCCATAGTATTTTTTTTCCTACTATGGAAGTCAATGCGACCAGAAACTGTCTGGTTACTGATATTCTTCTAAATATCAAAAAATTGGCTGAATACATTCGAAAACGGTAAAACTCAACTGTTTAACTCTGGGGGAGTGGTAAAATGAGCCTATTTCCAAAAAAAGTGGAGTATCCCTTTAAAAGACCCCCTATGATCTCTAAATATGGCTGAAGTCCGTCCTTCAATCTAATTCTACGTTTTTTTTAGAGCCGTTTTCAGCTGAAAAGCCCAACGACAGTCTCACCTGTACATGAAGGGTGCTACGGTGGCTGTGTTGGGGTGGTTGTACTGCTGCTGGGGTTGAGGCAGCTGCACACTGACCGTGTTGCAGGCCGTGGATTGTGTCCCGTTGGCCACTGGGGCACCACTGTGCGTTTGGTGTCCTTTACCCTCGGTGGAAGCCAGGCTGGAAGAGGACGAGGAATGCCGACTGTCCCTATGAAGTCCCAGACCCCCTCCCAGACGCATACTGCGTGGCCTCTCATTATCCTTACCACCGAGAGGCAGCGCTGAGCTTTTTACCGCTCCATTTCCTGTGATTTTACTTCCTGGTTTTGGAATTCCGCTATGTGCAGGGGCGGAGCTATCTTTCTTGGTAACGCCCACCTTGCCGCCTTTGGGTATAAAGATGCCGATCTTGGAGGCTTTCCTTGGCTCTGCCTCTGAGAGAGCAACTCCGCTTGAGGGAACAACTTCCTCCTTAACCTCTTCTTTGGTCTCCACCTTTTCCGAGGCAGGGACACGCTTGGACTCCTTCCCGTTTTTGTCCTTGTCCTTAGCTTTTTCCTTGTCTTTCTCTACAGCTTTAGTTGAGGCTTTTTTTGCCGTGAGCGCCCGGCTAAATGTCCGCTGCGCAATGCCCTTCAGAGCAATCTTTGGGCTGCTGGTCGTCATGTTAAAAGAACTTGATCCGTTCGCGGGTCTGACGTTACCATCCGTTTCCACAAAGGGTTCTGTATTGGAACCAGCCTCGACTCTTTCCGAACTCAACCCGGCATCTTTTCCTGCTGTCGGCGTAACAGCGCCCTCTGTTTGCGCGGATGATTTGGAGGCTCCTTTGCTATTGAAAAGTTTGAGTTTCTCCAGCATGGACTTCTGAGGCACAGCTTTCGGTGGTGGATCTGCAGGCACGGGCTGCTTGGCTTGGAGATCTGGCTTGATGGAAAGCACCGTTGAGGAAGCGGAGGAGGTAGCAGTGTGCTTGGTGCTCTGAGTTTTGATTCTCCAGGGTTTGCTACTCGAGTTGGGATGGGGGATGGCTGACGACGAAGATGAAGATGCCACAGTGCTGGTGCTAACAGAGGTGCAGGCGGATGACAGAGCGTGCTCAGTCACACCTTGTGAGGTGATACTCTCTGATGATTCTGGAGAGGAAACCACATACAAAAACAGTCAATAATAGACACTGAGACAGTTGGAATGCATGTGTTGCAGAAGGAGATCCATTCAAAACACATTCATATGTGTACTAGCATGGAAAAACCCAGACAACTTCCGGCAAATTTAGATTTGCTCTGAAAGTTAGTCTGGCAAAGCGCTCATTCAAGCCCATTTCTAATCCGTTTAAATTGCGGCACCAATCAGAAACGTTGGGGCGGGCTTTACACGATGACGACAGCGCTGGGATTTTGAAGCAGATTTTGTAGCCTACATTACAAAGATGAATGCCGCCATCGAACATCACTCATTTGAATCAGCTATCGCGTCTGTTTTAAGCGATTTGAACTTTTCCTTTTTTTAAAAAAAAAAAAACGAGCAAAGAACAACACTCTCCGCCGGCCGCCGCTCTGCATACGTCATCTCCTTCATAGCTCTGATTGGTTTTAGGTCTACCCGTAACATCCGTTGGTGACGCCCCTCTGGAAATGATTTGTCTATGATGCTTTGCCAGTTACAACTGAGAATGGTCTGGTTTTAACCAGGCTATATGTGTACCACATTTGGACGAAATCCAAATTCAAATTAATGTCTGATTTACAATCCACTATCCACAAGTTTCCAAGGGGCGCTCCTGTAAAAAATAAAGTGGGTGGAACTTCCGGTGAGGCGGCGGAAGTAGCATTCCAATGGTATTTTGTGTGTTAGTTAGCGAAGAGGCTAGCAGTTTTTCTGAGAATTATTTTACTATTTAAAGACGCCAATCTTTATGAGAGATGTCGTTACGGAGCTAATGGACAACATGTGCTGTTCGCGGTTGTATGTATAACCGGACTAAACTAATTCAGTGGCTTAAACGTGATTGTTTTGAACATAAGCCGAAAACGAAATCAGAGTGATCCTGCCAAAGACTGTAGTTTCCATCACCTCCCAAAAGACGACAAATTTTCCTGTGTACATTTGTTTAAATTCTTAATATTCTATAAACTCTATCAGCATGTGATTGGCTGTTCCCTACTGATGTTACACCTAAACTCAGGATCAAAGCCTGTGTTGACAGAATACCAAATGTGCCAGTTAGCACATTATTCAAGCAGCACATTCATTTATAATTTTGAATAAACTCCAAAGCACAATGAATAAGTGTGTATTTTTTATTTTAATTGTTTGTCAGCTTACACAACGCCATGCCTTGATGAGTATTGATTATTAATAATGTTATTATAATAATAATGTAATAAATTAATATACATTAATATAATAATGTTAATACTCCCAACCAACTAACGTTACTGCGGAGGGTAAAGGTACTGTTATTTCACCCTTTTTAATTTCGTTGAGGTTGTGTTCCCACATCGTCAGCTAGTTTGGATCGCTATAACTTGAATCACTGTCAACTGTTGAATGAACAAGTGTCAAGCATGTCAAGTCGCGCTTTGTTTACTTCGAACCGGAAGACGCGCCCACTTTTGACGCAAGGCCTCATGGGGCGTAGGAAACTTGTGGATAAATCAGAACTGTTTCAGTTTGAATGGTCCAGTGTTATTTAAAGCCCCCCTGTGGTCAATCATGTTATCCCTTAAAACTCATCTTTGATCACCAAAATGACGGATTTTCTTGAAAAAAAAATCTTCATGCCTTAAAATAGCTTGAATGTAACTCAACACCCTTGCTCATTTAGTATACGCAGTTTTATGAAATTGCAAATTAGCCCCGCCTCCACTTACTCACACCAGCTCGTTGACGATAAGGTGACGTCAGAAACACCAGCGATTTCAAACCGAATTTATGAGACTGTCTTTGGTTGACTGCAGTTTTAAGGAGAAAATATTCAGCAATAGTGTCGACTTATGAATTTGCACATGGTTTGTCTTATAGCATATTAAAAACACCACATAGACATATAAACAACATTAAAAGCTTGATTTATACCACAATTAAGATTATTTAAGTACTACTATAGCATTTATTAATATTTTGAATTTACTTTTATTTTTATCCCCTTCTGTTTTAATTTTGAGTTTAGTTTATAATTCTGTTATGTGCTTTTTTTTTAAAAATTTTAGCCTTTGTTTTAATATTTTTGCATAGCTTTAATTCATTTTATTTCAGTTTTAGTAATCTTAGTTCATCAAATTCTTGATTGAAAAGTTTTTAAAGCTTAAGTATCTCCTCTAATATTTCAGCTTCTTTCAATTACCCAATTTTTTAGTTATATAGTTAACAATAACAACACTGGAATGGTCAGATCAGATTTCACATCTTTTCCCTTAAACTAGGAATCGCAATCTGATGGATACAAACCCGATCCAATTTGTGCTTTTAAATCCAATTAAAATCGAATTTTTGCAAACGAGCCAAACAGAATGCTCAGATTTCAAGTGATATTTCATCAAAAGACACATAACATCAAATAATGTATGAGAAAGTCTCTTGGTACTGCACTGACATCTTAACTATAGAAACAGATACCACAATAACAAAAGTGATACTAAAGATCACATCTGAAGACTTTAGTCCAGTGCAGAGTTGTGGAAGAAGAACCTATAAGGGAAATAAAGTGATATTTAAAGTAGATTAAATCAAATGCTAAGAAAAACAGAAGAAAAAGCTTGACAGTTTAACCAGAGATGCACATTGAAACCGCCATAAAAGGCTAGTTACTTTTGAGCTAGTGTTATTCTAATAGTGAGCAGCAGACCGCCAACTGAGATCCATTCTAAACTGTTTACACTAAAACAGCGAGTAAGACTTCAATGCCCATTCAAACGCTAGAGGCCAAATTTAGCCATTGTAAAAACTTCCTTCAAACAACTGACATAATACAAAAAAAAAAAAAACTGTTTGCAAAAGGAAAAGTATAAAATTGAAATTGAAAAACAGCAAGTTAACCGTCTCCCATTCACCTGAGAAGTCCATTTGTTAAAGTGTGCTGGATTCACAGTCAGTCTCACTAGTGGAGCTCACTCGCAGGAGTTACACTTCAAATAAAATGCGAACTGCAAACACCCCGCTGTCCCTCTCCCCAGCCCCCTCCCTCTGACCCTGTATCACGCTGAACACACTCGCTCTGTCGGGCGGCTGGTGGTCCTAAAGACTTCAAGTGCCCAAAAACAGCTGAGCATACAGTATACTAATGCTGCACATCACAAATGAGATCTAGCAGAAGAGATATAAAACTATAGATTCCCTGAGTGCCGAATGTGTCTCATAGATAAATTAAGTGTTGTTTATTCAGATTATATCACACTGAAATTTTATGCCACTTAAGTTTAGATTGACTAAAAGCTCAAATGTTTCTTTATTTTACAGGTTCGGCATTTGTTGTTGTTTATTTGCATATTTTAATCAGTGATCTGACATGGGGGAAAAACACTGTTCCCATTTCATTCAGTTTAGCATTTAATGAGCGGCAAAGAAACAAAGCGGCAATTAGGAAGTGATTAAGGTCCAATTAGTCATGCAAGCCAGAGAGAAGTGGGTCAGACCACTAATGACTTCCAATAGGTAGAGAGAGAGGGGCCGAGAGGGGGATAGGTCGGGGAAAAAAATGAGACCTGGCTCAGTTTTGGAGATTAAAGTTGAGAGAGAGAAAATGATGTAAAAGTTGATGACCACTAAACTAATTATACAACAATGAACAGTAAAAATTGCACACCGAAAGGGCAGAAACAATATGTCACCTCCATATCTTCAGGAATCTCTAGACTTTGTACCCTCAGGGGTTTGTGGCCTCTCTCAGTTCCTCTCAAAGGCCATATTTAAGTGATTATTTCTCCGCGCCAGAATAACAGCTATCATTAGACTCAGATGACCACCCCACGAGGACTGACCAACCCTCTCAGAAAAAAAGGGGACCCTTTCCGAAGATAGTAGTATAGGTACTACTGCACAAAAATTGTACTTTTTTGAAAGGGTCCTGCCCCAGAGACAGCTTTTGTACCTTTTTCTGAAAGTAAATGAACAGTTCTGAGTTCAGTTTTGAGTTTTGACATGCCCTGAAATTTGTGCTTATTTCTGTTACTTATGACATGGCAATAGTGTACATGAATACTACAATTGCTGCAAATAAAGACTCAACCAGAATATGGACATTAAAGGGGAAATTAGCCCTTTACCCATTTGGTAACACTTTACTTGAAGATGTGTGCATAAGACTAACATGACACCTTCATAATCATGACATGACGTATGTTATGAATATGAAGGAAGTTTTATGCATGTTTGTGACAACTGTCATTAAGTGTCATTCGCTCAGTTATGACATTTTTAATGCAAATATGACATTGTTTGAGATGTCTTTGTTATGACACCTTGACATAAACCAATACATCATAACCTATCAGTGTCTTGGTCATGACAACTTGACATTAGTAAGACAACACAACCTGTCATAAACATGACATTACATTAAACTGTCAGTTGGTTGGTTTTGACATTGGCTGTCATGAAGCCATTATAACTTTTTAATGACAAATTCAATTAGTACCACTGTAGTTGAGGTCACGGAAAATATTCTTGAAAGTTATAATGGCCTCATGACAGCCAATGTCAAAGCCAACCACATGACAGTTTAACTCAATTTAATGTCAAGTTGTCATGATAAAGACACTGACAGGTTATGATGTTATTGGTTTATGTCAAGGTGTCATAACAAAGACATCTTAAACAATGTCATATTTGCATTAAAAATGTCATTATTAAGAGAAAGACACTTAATGAGAGTTGTCATAAACATGCATAAACCTTACTTCATATTCAAAACATATGTCATGTCATGGTTATGAAGGTGTCATGTCAGTCGTATGCACATCCCTTCAAGTAAAGTGTTACCAAACATTACATACTAACAAAAATATGCTTTAAAAATAAAGTAATTTAAAGTGGATAACATTACAACTCAAATGGTTGATTGGTAATCAAACGGTTGATGGTGGCCATTGACTTCCATAGTATGAAAAAAAATACAATGGAATGACCGTACAATGTCTGATTAACAACAATTATATAAAAAATATATCTTCTTTTGTGTTAAACAGAAGAAAGAAGCTCAGACAGGTTTGAAACAACTTGAGGGAGAGTAAATGATGACAAACTTTTCTTTTTTATGGGTGAACTATCCCTTTAATTATTTCAAACTCTGAAAACACATAATATGCTAAGTCGCTATCTAGCCAGCTTTAAAATTTCTCCGAAACGGTCAGCTGACACCATTTACTAATTTTCACTGTCAACACAGACCAACACATTTGAACTCTTTAACTGCACACAAGCCAGATATCACAGTCAGGAGATTCACCAAAACACTGTTAAATAGACAGTCCTTGTAAAAATGGGTATAGAAAACATTAAGCAAACTTAAGAAGAATCCGTTCAATACCTAGCAATATGTAAACAAACATACAGTAGAAAAACAGGATGGTGCCTAAAACATGAAACCTCCTTCTCTCTCTGTCTTTCTTTCACTGTCCCACATTCTCATGCCCAAAACACTAATTGGAGCTCAATTAATGCAGAAAAGCTCCATTCACTCAGCTTTCAAAGCCGGTGCGCCACACACACACACACAGCACATCTTTCAAACATCTCAGCTAGGGTTTCAGTCAAGGTCATTATAAGCAGTTATTTCCAGCACTGACTGCTACATTAACTGCTGCAAACACATCACACTCCGTCAGCGAACACAGAAAAGTGCTTGACCCATTTTGACACAGTGACCGCTTAAAGTCAACATGAACTCTAAATTGACCCGGTTTATATTATTGTGCATTAATCATCAGTACACTTTATTCCAGAAAATGTTTGAACGTTTTCTGCTGACATTACGAGGCCACGTATACCTACGGGATAATACGGGGGACCTTTGCAAATATAAAAAATATACAGACTTTTCGACTAAAGCGTATTAATCGTATTAGTTTTCTCGTGCGCACGAGATACGTGTATATATATTTTTTTTTTTTGCAAAGGTCCCTTTAGGGACTCCGTACAATAATGTTAAGCAAGCTGCAAGTTTTACATTTTGTTTTAGTAAATACACAAATTCAGAATACACTATTGTTTGGGGTCAGTAAGATTTATTTTTTATTTTAATTATCCCTGTGATGTCGAAGCTGCAATTATTTTTAGCATCATTACTGCAGTCTTCAGTGTCACATGATCCTTTAGAAGTCATTCTAATATGATGATTTGCTGCTCAAGAAATATTTCTTATTTCTATCAATTTTTTTAATGGAAATCGTGATCTTTTTTTTCATGATTCCTTGATGAATGAAAAGTTTTTAAAAAAGATTCAATAAATTTTTAAAAATTCTATAAATTGCATGTACAATACTTCATTAGTCTTTAAGATACAAATAACAGAAGATATACAATTTTTGGAGAAAAAACAAACCCCATGCGCGGCCCGAATTTTGCCCTAGGTACCTAAAACATGAGAATTTTTCTTTATTCAATTCGTGAAAAAACACATTGCCAGGGAGTCTAGCGAATCAGCATTATTTAAATAAATAAATAAATAAATAAAATACGTACAACTGACTCATTTTGCCAAGGCATGATCAAACACAGCTCAAATAAACTGGAAGGACCCTGTAGAGGTCACAAAAAGTTTTTTTTTTTTAATGAAATATGTCTACGATGTAATGTGTTTACCTTTGGCCTGAGCTGCTGCAGGTTTGGCTTTATCGCTGAACACCTGACTGCGGCGATTCCCTGCTGAACTGATGGACCCTCGAGGAGAACTCTCACTGCCCGCAGTGGACATCCTCGAGGTGGGCCCAGGTAATCTGTGACAGCGAGAGAACCAAGACATTCACAACAAGATTTGTACAGTTTATGAAGAAAATGGGCATGTGCAGAACTCATTGTCACAACACTCAGGTGTTGCTGGTGCTTGCCAGGAGAGTTCTGAGATGCTAGGGTGTTTATAAAGTATTGTGAGTGGTTGCTTTATGTCTAAAGAGATTTTTTTTTTTTTTTTTTAGAAATAGTGTTCTGAATATTTGTGCCTTTCTGAGGGTTTCTTGCCCCAGATTCAGCCTTAGTTAATGAACTAAGCTGACAATAAAAACTATGCTCTCCAACAGCAAAAACTATGGAAGCTCGTTTCCGCCACAGAGAAAAAGAAAGATAATTTCTACTTTTTATCTCAGAATTGCAAGATATAAACTCACAATTTCCAGAAAAAAGACAGATTGTGACTTTTAATCTCACAATTCAGACTTTTTTCCATGCAATTGTGAATTTATATCTTGCAATTCTGACTTTTTTTTTTCAGAATTGTGATATAAACTCGCAAGTGTGAGTTATAAAGTCCGAATTGTGATGTAAATGCAAAGTCAGTCCTTTTTTCCTCAGAATTGGACTTTATATCTCGCAATTCTGATATTATAACTCACAATTGCAAAGTTTATATCACACAATTATGAAAAAAGTCAGAATTGTGAGATTAAAAGTAGTTAGCAAATAGATTTTCATGCTTCTGAAAAATTCAACAATTTACAATTCTTAATCAACAATGCATTTATTTCCCCAAAATGATGCATATATATATATATATATATATATATGCATAATTTGGGGGAAATAAATGCATATATATATATATATATATATATATATATATATATATATGAAGAGTTCAGATGCAAAAGCCTCTAAATGCCATTTGAAATTTTCTTCTAAAATGATCATTTTTATCAAGCTTGTATATTCAAGTTCAGTAATTTCACCTAAATGACAATTAATAGGTAATCCTCATTGCAATTTAAGTGAAATTACTGAACTTAAATATACGAGCTTGATAAAAACGATAATTTTAGAAGAAAATTTCAAATGGCACTTAGAGGCTTTTGCATCTGAACTCTTCATATATATATACAGTATATGTATGTATGTATGTATGTATGTATGTATGCATAACAATGCTTGATGCATAACAATCATATAAGGCAAACAATGCTTGAAAAACATGTATATATAGTATATACACGTCTATTTCAATCATTGTTTGCCTGTGGTTGAGGGTTTAGTGAATTAGTTCAACTCAAGCTAAATATTTAGCTTTAACATAAAAAACTGAAATGTACAGGGATCTAAACAAATCCTAAACTACAGTACACACACACACACATATTTATATAAATGCCATATGTCATACACTGACATATAAGAAATGATGCAGTAAATACCCACCTCTATGAAGGAGATTTGTAATTATAATGTGGCATTTCTCCATCAGTCCTAGCCTTAAAGATGATTGACAGACAAATAGACTAATCTCTCCTAACAATCAAGTCTAGGTAAATGTCATGTCAGTGTCATGTAAAATACAGGAACATGTAGTGACCTATGCTAATCACATTGCTGTCAATTGTGTGGCCTTGACATTTTCTCACAAGAATGTAAAATAGCAATGCTCCCTGCATTTTCCATCTCTATATTTTCCTGTTCACCTAAAAGGCTTAACTGCAATTACAACTATCCACCAGTAGAGGACAACATTGTGTCACGTGTTGCCATGAATGGTGGTGTACTAAATCCTGGGCCAATATTCAAACTGGGGAGTGTATTTTTTCAAATGCATTACACATGTGAGTGAAATGCATTTACATCACTTGGTGACTGAGTGCATGGACACATTCATTCAACCTCTCTGTCACACACCACAAACCACTATTAATAATTAATCGCATACTCAAGCAGGGCATCACACAGAGAGGTTATTTTAAAGTTATCACGGCTAACTGAGCAGACATTTCCACAGGGACATGTTTTTGGGTAACATCCCCTGACAGAACACATATTCTGTCTGGCCAAATTTATTCAAGGTAATCTTCACCAGAATTGGACATAATTTCTTATTTTCCATTGCTTTGGCAAAGTATCTGTGAAATTAACTAAACTTGAAAAGGCAATATGGCTTTGTGCCCTAATTAAATGGCAAAAGACATATTTTAATCAAATATGTATATAGTATATACGTGTTTTCCGCCTCTCAGATCGGCTCAGTTCACAGTAAATGAATGCAGTGAACTCCATCTCTGCATGTGCTGTGAGTTTAGCATGCGTTTGGGAACGTAGCAGGGACCAGTTATATATTACTTTCACATTAGCATAATTTCCAGTATTTTTGTGGAAAGATGATTACATCCTTTCACTAGATTTGTAATGAGATGCGTTTGTAAACTGGTTAAAAAAAAAACTAAAAAAAAAAAACAATTGCATAAAAGCTAAGGGGTTTATCGCTTGAAAGTGA